CAGAGTCTGCACAGGCCCGGAGCCCCCTTCCTGGTGTCTTATTTTCCTGCAGGGGCGCCTGGGGCTCCGGAGCCTGAGGGAGAAAGCGCGAGATCCAGAGACTCCACCACCCAGCGGGTGTGGGGTGGGAGCTTGGAGAGCTGTGCCCCAGGCCGGCAGCTTCGGGGGAGCCGGAGAGAGGATGCCCACCCGTGGCCTCCACAGGAGCTGGTCAGCGTGGCTCTCTTCCAGCGTGGTCCTCACCTAGCCAGGCCCCGGAGAGCATTGCTTGGGGTGTAGGAACTACAGAGTTACAGTGACCGCGGCAGTATGGCACACGGGGACGCTCAGTGGCATGACATAAACCCTTCCATGTACCATCAGTTGATTTTCCACAAGGGCGCAGAGATAATCCAATAAGGATTATCTCATAATCCTTATCTCATAATAATAGCGCCAGCGAAAGGTGCTGGCACAACTCTAAATCCACGTGAGAAAGGATGATGTTGGCTTTCTACCACGCATCTTTTTTCACAATCGTAGATGAAGATGTAAGATCCCAGATGAGAAAACACGTGTGTTAGGCAACAGATTCTTGGAAACGTCAAAGCACAAAATAACAAAGGGAGGAAAACCCAAAGAGCACATCGTCGAAGTTAAAAACTAATTTTTTGTGCCAAAACACCACAGAGGTGGTGAAAAGAGAAGCCTCAGAACAGGAGGGAATATTTGCAAACCCCGTCTGTGAAGGACTCTTCCAATGGGGCGATACAATGGCAAAAGAACTGACGAGACATTTCTTCAAAAACCGGGCGCAACTGGCGGAGAAGCCCTGCAAGATGCCTCACAGCGTTAGTCATCAAGGAAATCCGAATCAAACCCGCCGTGCCTAGTGGGGGAAATGTCACCCCAGCCCACGCGGGTGGCTTAACTTCTGGGCGAACTGTGGAGGGGACACTTGCGTCAAGTTGTAGGCGCACCTCAGACATAAATCACACTGTGCTCGTGATTGCCCCCCCACCCATTAGCACACAGCCAGTTTATTGAGAAAAAGAGAAAAAAGGAAAGAAGCCTGCAGGAAGAGGTGGGCGGGAGAGTGCTGACTTATTCTCTTCGGGCTTACCAGGCCTGGGCTGGGCTCTGACAAGGGGGGTTATTCAGCTTAGACTGAGGTCCCCCCTATAAAATTGGAAGTAGGGGATGGGATCCCTTCAGGTATATTCCACTGTCCCGGTAGTGGTGGTCCTGGATCTTGGGAGGTCCCGTGTGGGGCTCAGCAGGGGTCTGTACCTCTCAGCACCCCTTATGTCAGCCTGACCTAATCCTGTGAGCAGCATCTCTTCCTGCTCCTCAGGTGGATTCAATACCTCAGGGCTCCCTGGAGGTCTCCCCTGGTGGCGCAGGGGTTAAAGTCTCAGCACAGTGCGGCCTGAGTTTGATCTTGATGCTCTCCTGAACCAGCCCACAGCAGTGTGATTCAGTTGATCAGCCTGCTCCCCACTCTGTCTCTGGTGACTCCTGTTACCCCCCTCCCTGCACCTCTGGCCTGCATCCCAGCTTTTCTCTGCATAAATAAGTGAAATAAATCTTCAGAAACAAAAACAGGGCGGTTCCCCAGGACACCACCATCCTCTGGGGCCATGCATCCTAAAGCTTCAACCTCTACTTCCTCAACATGAAATTAGTGGCATCTCCCACCCTTGACTGGTCCCCGAGGCTGGACGGGCCACTGTGCTGAGACTCTCAGAAACGGATGACGGATGGGGACCCGCCACGGGTCAGGCCCAGAGCCCCCCAGGTTTCTGCTGTCACTTTGTCCGAAGTGCGGGTCTGAGCCCCCAGCTTAAGTCACCAGATCTAACTTTATTTATTTATTTTTTTTAAAGATTTATTTATTTATGCAGACAGAACTGGGGCACAGGCCAGAGGTGCAGGGGTGGTGAGAGGCTTCACCAGAGACAGAGTGGGGCCAGAACAGGCAGATGGACAAAGTGCACCGCTGAGGGGAGCAGTGCGGAGATAGGAGAGGTCTGCTGAGCCCTGGGGGTCCCTCCCTGGCCGGGGATCGAACTCGTGCTGCAATGGCTGCGGCCAGCTCTGTGGTGCTGCACTTTAACCGGTTGCGCCACCAGATGCAGTTTTATTAGAGCCTTATGACAGCTGTCAGTGGTGACGAGGGGCCGGAGTTAAGGGCAGCATCTTACACATAAGGGAACTAAGACACCTGCCCAGATCATACATCTTTGAAACGAATAGCAAGGAGTTAGAGGACAACGTGGTTGCCACTCATCACTAAAAGTCACCTCCACAGCCATGTCGTTCTGTGTGTGGTCTGCAGATTCCAGAGATCTTTGACCTGCTGGTTGCTCCCTTTCCCGGAACTTTCTATCCTGGTGATCCTCCTCTTTACCTGGCTGGCCTTCAGGTGTCAGCTTGGAAGCCCCTTCCTCCAGGAAGGCCTCCCAGACTTTCCAAGTTGTGGCATTAGTCCTGCTGAGTGTTGTGCATTTCCCCACTCAGCCCCCGAGACCCGGTGTTTCCCCAGAGCTCAGCACACTGTGGGGCGCAGAACTGAGGCGCCGTAACAAGGGTCTCTGGGCACTGAGCACAGTGCTAAGGGCTGTTTACTTGCTGACTTGTCGCTGAGTGAAGGGGTGGAGTGTTGCCCAGTCCAGTCGCTTCTCCCTTCCCGGGACTTAACACCCTAAGCCCAGGGACTGCGAGCCTTTAAAAATATTTAATTCCAGGCCCTCCCTGGTGGCGCAGCCGGTTGGGGCACAGCACTGAGGGGCTGGGGCCGCTTCCACATGAGTTCGATCCCCGCCTGCCCCGGAGGTGACCACAGGGCGCGGCAGACCTCTCCTGACCTGCCCGCTGCTCCCCTCACTTGTCGCTGAGTGAAGGGGTGGAGTGTTGCCCA